CAAAACTTTGTCGAAACGTTGTACATTTGCTGTTATGTTAAACTTATATTAAAGTTTTTCTTCATTACCCATTCAAGCCGTCTCCAGCCATTATTAGTCTCAAAGAGGGTTCCTTGTCATCGAATTTGAATTCATCAGGGACTAGATAGTTTTTCTGGAGTATCTGGTGTTGGTCCTTTTCCCAACTTAGACAAGGGTCTCATCATTGGTTCTCATTTTCCTCCCATGATTTCTCTGTAATTGAGATCTATTTATACTGACACCCTTTTCTCTGTTGTTAACCTTTCTCAGTCCTCTCTATGTAGTCTGTGTCTTGCTCCAGTCATTTGCTCCAGGGTATTTAAGGTGTTACTCTCACCTTGGAGTCTCCAGCAAAAGCTGCTTACCATCAGTTTTTTCTCTCACTACTTTATCTTTCTATCTTATTTGTTCCTGTGCATTCCCTCATGTTCCTTGGCCTATGTACTCTTGTCCTTTCTCACATTTCCTTTTCCTGCCTCTCTACCTCCTGGAGGGTTAGCCTTTGTGCATCCTGCCATTGAATGCCTCTCTTTGAACTTATTTGGCTCATGTCCTTTGGGGGCACTTCCTTTTTTTTTCTTTGCTAACCTGTGGACTCACTTCACATCCAACCATTAGGTCACTCAGATTCTTACCCACTGATTCTCTTTTCACTTCTCTTCTTCCTCTTTCCCTTTCCCCTTTGTTTTTCTTCCAACTTCCTATCCTCAGTGCTTTTACAATTGGCTGCTCTGGCTGTGGACACCCTCAGCTTGTATTGGTCTTTTCTGTATGTATTCCCTGTTATCTGCTTTCCCGCATGTGTCATGGCAATTGTCTGTTACTTTCCTTTTTGAATCCTATCAGGAGCACCTTATTCGCCATCTCCCTCCTGGTTTCCTCTTCTCCACTAATTGGCATTTTAGGCTCTCTTCTTCCATCATTGAGGTTCCTCTTGCTCCAACATTCTTTCATCTGAGAGTGTCATCTCTTCATTTCTCTCATAGGTTGTTCATTCCTTACCCAATGTGCAGTTTCTCATATTATGTTGCCCTTCTTTTTTATTACTCAATTCATCCTTTCACTCTCTGTTCCATGACACAAGTGGTGTTTTTATCACCACTGGTCCACCAGGCACTCTTTGCCTTCAGACCATCCTTCTGTTGTCCATCATTTGGACTTCTTTATCAGACTGTTTGACCAGAGATTGTTGATCTACACCATTGTAGGGTATCATACAGCCGTGTCAGCCCTCTTTTATCTCTTTCACCATGGTTCTGTCATTCTATCTTGTTCCAGTCCTTCCTTCCTTCTTTTTCCTCACCTGGTTCATTTGTCTGATTGGGACCTTCTTGTGATTCTTTACATTCTCATACAGACCTCATTTGAACTTTTGGCCACTTGTTCCTTTTCTCACCTTCCCTTGAAGGTTTCTTTCCTTCTCTTTCTGGCTTAAGGTTGTTGCCATTCTGATATTTATGCCTTCCATAATCTGTTCCACAAATCTTACAGGTTGTTTTCTCATGTTTTTCATCCATTGTTTTCTGCCCACAATGGTTGTTATGACCTTGGTCATATTTTGTGCCCTAATCAGGCAATCTGGTGTTACTGAACATGCCTACAATCACCTATTCTTGCTGTGTGCCCTCCTCATCCAAAGGATCTTTCATCCAGTACTCTTACTGGTTCGGTTAATTACTTTATCTGGACCATTTATTCTTCCCTAGTGGATGACACTTGCAGACTCTGTTTCTCTTCAGATTTGTCTTTTGACTCACTCTGGCCTCACTGTTTCAGAGACTATTGGACAAAATCTTACAGCCAGGGAGGTGGACAACACCCACTTTATGTTCTTCATAAGCTGGTAGTTTCATCTACATCTAGACTTCTTCTGCCTCTAGTCTCTATTCTACTGTCTACTCACTCATTTGAACAGGGTAAGTACCTTATTTATCTCTTTCCCAAATTTAATAATAGTCTCATCTCTCCAGGACCAACTCAATAGCTGGTGTTGCCTCACAAGGTATACTATCTTCCCTAAATCTACATTGAGTCAGGGATAATGGAAAGTATTAAAGCACATTCACCCTGCTTCTTTTGTGCCTACTGTTGAGATGGGGTTTCTCACAAGACCACTACAATGGTATATATCTATCAATGTCCATTCCAGACTATACCCTACATGGACTGTCATAAAAAAAAACAAAAAAAACCAGCACTGCAGGAGTGCCTTCCCACTTCCCTGGTTTGCATATGCTGGCTTTTCAAAATAGGTTTCATGGTAACCCACTGTACTTTCTCCAGTAAAAGACCTTTACAGTGGTTAGTTCTGATCAGGTCCTGGCACCTCTTCATGGTCTCCCCAAAGTGGATCCTTCCTAGGTCTTTGAGTGGCATGGGAGACCCTTGCCATTCCCAGTTCTTAGCTGCTAGGGTGGTTGACTTGGAAAGTTTCTCATCAGTTGTGCAATCCTTTCAGAGAGATTCCAAATGAGCAGCACAATGTGGTGGAAAGTAGGGCAAGTGTGCCCATGTCACTGTAGTGGAAGTTGCCTCCTATTATATTGTATGCCAATTTCCTGGTGATTTTGATCAGCTGGATGGGGCAATCTTTTCTCCTCAGAAGGCAGGAAGGGACCTTAGTTCCCATTCCTGTATATACATATATATATATAAAGTGAGTAAATTGTACAACAAAATACATACCAAACTGTACGGTTTGAGTATTTCCCGAGCCACAATACACCTCATGTCCATCCGACCTGTTGTGTTTAAAAGCTTGGTTGGTCATGTCCATTTTTTACCCATGCCTGAAACATATTTGCCCATTTTGTCTTCCTTCTTTCATACTTTTATCTGGGTGAAGATATACACGGACTGAGAAAGATACAGTCTCCCATAAGTATTGCCCCTCTATCGAGTGCCACACTCTCTGGAATTTCCCCTTCTGGTGTCTTCTCTGAAGAGAGCTCATCTAGGTTTTCTCATTTGCACCAGCCCCTCCACCATATCAGTGTGAGATTCTAACTACTGTGTGCAGAAAGATAAGTGGATCGTTTTGGAACAATGTCTTTAGTCTAAACACATTAAGCTCTCCCCACCAAATATTGGCTTTGATTGCTAAAACAAGGCAAATAATCATCTGATTTATGTAGTTTAGAAGAAGTTAACATTTTCCTTTCCTGAAAATGTATTTTCAGTAGATACCTCTCTTCACATTTCCCCATTTCTCCTACGTACTAGTTGTATACATTATTCTTGACTCATCTAAGGATGAAGTTAATTTCAAGTGTAAGTGGGGACCTGCTGTGCATGGAGGATGTGTAGCTCTTTTATTGATGAAAGGCTGTTGCTGCATGATGATTACAGCATATACTGTAATGCGGTTTATGTAAAACACATGGTTTAGGCAGGCAAGTGAGAAATAGCTACTGTTTGCAGAGAAGTATTTATCAGATATAAATTTTCAGATAAGGAAAATGTTAACTTCTAATGTACATAAATTAGATAATTGTTTTGTTTTAGCAATCAGAGCCAGTATTTGATAGGGAGAGCTTGACATGTTTAGACTAAAGACATTGCTCCTAGTGGTATTATAATTTTTTAACCTTTTTATATATTAGTTAGAAATCCAGATAAATTATAGTACAATTCTGTTCTAGTGTTTGATATATTTTTTTGCATATTTGAAATCTACATCAATACATGAATTATTTTTGGACAACTAACATAGTGAGAAAAAAAAATAGGCTTACTAAAACCATGCATCCAAGTGCAAAAAGCCTCAATGCTAATATAATTCCTAAATTTCTTGGATTTATATATATATATATATTCTTTATTTATTGCTATAGATTTTTCAACAAAAGTAAAATGTAAAAATTAAGAACTTATTAGGTTAGAT